TTTCCAGAACTCCGCTCCATATATCAATGGATTTACTTTTTGCCCCAGAGGCATTCCAAGATATACAGTTGGGAGGGTACCTATTTCACCTCCAAGAATCTCAGCGAACTGCTGAATTTGTTGAGGTTCATTAATCGGATATATTAAACTTTTCCTCCAGTTTATGTGGAGTCCTGATATCCCTTCAAAAATTGTCAAGACTACTCTTAACATTCTTATCTGATCTGTCTCAGCATCACAAAGAATGATTGCGTCGTCTGCATAAAGGAGATGAGTAATCTCCAAACTTCCCCCTTGTCTGTTGCTAACCTTGAATCCCCTGATCCAGTTGTTCTGTTGGGCTGTTTGAAGCATATTATTCATCCCTTCCATAGCAATAATAAATAGGAAAGGGGATAACGGATCCCCCCTGACTTAGACCCCTATATGATGGAAAGAAACCTTCTGGACTCCCGTTAACCAACACTGAAAAACTTGCTGTGCTTATGCAAAATCTGATCCAGTTAATCCACTTTGTACCAAAACCCATATTCTTCAACGTGTTTGTCAAGAAGTCCCAATTCACATGATCGAAGGTTTTTTCTATGTCTAGTTTACACAGGACTCCAGGCTTCTTTTCCTTCATTCTAGAATCAACACACTCATTGGCAATAAGAGCAACATCCATTATTTGTCTTCCTTTGATGAATGCCATTTGATGTTTGCCAATCAATTTTGAGATCACTGATTTGAGCCTTTTCGATAGGAGTTTGGAGATGATTTTATATACACCGCCTATCAAACTGATTGGCCTGTAATCCTTTAACTCTTTTGCACCATTCTTCTTTGGAATCAAAGCTATGAAGCTGGCATTTAGACTTTTTTCAAAGTATTCTTGATTGTGGAAATTCTGGATGGTTTGCATTATATCTCCCTTGATGATTTCCCAGCACTTGGAGTAAAAACCCATACTGAAACCGTCAGGCCCCGGACTTTTATCAGTTGCACAAAGTTTAATGCATTCATGTACCTCCTGCTCCTCAAAAGGCCTTTGCAGCCATTCTTTCTCTTTTTCTGTGATTTCAGGACCATCAATCATGTTGAAATTTGGTCTCCATGCTTCTGATTCAGTAAAGAGGTGTTGGTAAAACCTGACTATCTCCCCTTTTATCGCAGTTAGATCCTCCATTGTTACACCATTAACCACTAGCTGATCAATATTGTTGTACCTCTTATGTGCATTGGCTGTCCTTTGGAAGAATTTAGTATTCCTGTCTCCTTCTTTCAGCCACAGGGCTCTGGACCTTTGTCTCCAGGCTATCTCTTCTTTCTTTGCAACCTCTTCAAATTCCATGAAAAGATTAGTTTTTAACTGTGCTTCCTCTTCATTCAGACTCCTCTGTTCCTGTATTAAGTCCAGTTCTGATATTTGATTGAGAATATTGATCTTATTGGCCTCAAGGTTCCCATGCTTTGTTAAATTCCACTCCTTAAGCTTTCCTTTCAAAGCTTTTAGTTTACTAGCCAAAACGTAGTCTGGTCTGCCATCCACCTCAAAAGAGTCCCACCAGATCTTCACTTGCTCATTGAAACCCTCTACTCTTAACCACCAGTTTTCGAATTTAAAGTAGGATTTGTTATGGTCCCAATTCCCACATTGAAGTGATTGGGGGAAATGGTCTGAAACAACCCGCTGCAACATGGACTGCTTAACACTCCTGAATTCCTCATCCCATTTGGTTGAGATGAGGAATTTGTCAATTCTGGAAGAAGAATCTTGGCTGCCTCCCCAATTCCATGTGTATAGACCTCCATTTAGTGGGAGATCCACAAGCTCCATGTCGTCTATGAAATTTGAGAATTCAGTCATATCTCTGATGACCGTAGTGCAGTTCTTCTTTTCTGAAATGAACCTGGGAGTATTAAAATCCCCACATACCACCCACAGATCTCCACAAAGACCACTAGCTGCTCCGATTTCTCGCCACATACCTTGCCTTTCTCTTCTGCTGTTTGGGGCATATGCCTCTGTTAGATGCCATGAAAAATATTGAGTCATTGCAATGAAATTACTAGTTAAGGAATTAATTCCAGTGCATGTAACTTCCCCCTTCCAAACTCGACTGTCCCACATCATTAGAATCCCCCCTCTAGTACCACTTGCCGGTAAACATTCATACTTCATCCATCTATTGGCCCAGAGTTGCTTCACATATTCATCTATATCCCCTTCGACCTTAGTTTCTTGTAAACAGTAAATATCAGCTTTCCACTTGTGTATCAAACTCTGTATCGTGCTCCTTTTCCCCCTATCGTTTATTCCCCTAACATTCCATGAGATTATATTTATCTTCATGGATCAACAACTGATTGTAGCTTCCCCCTGTTTCTGTCCCCATTGCTTTTGAAATTGACATTAAACTTAACAAGACTTTTGAGTTCCTGTGTACCTTTCTATCTCGAATTTGGAGGAGTCTCTGGAACTTGAACTGGGTTGTTATTCTTCCTCCTGCTATCAATTTTCCTGAAAAGAGCAAAAGCCTCTTTTTCGCACCCTTTAAAATCCACTCCAAATTTGTTGCTCAATCTAATTATATTGCTATGTACCCAGAGAGTTGCATCCATCTCATCATCTTGTGCTTGGACATTGATTGGCTCTGCATATTCTAACACCCATGGTTGTTCCCCTGTAACTTCAATCAATTGCATATTTGAAGTTTTCTGGCCACTTTGTTGAGGAATCACTACTTCTATGCTTGTAACCACCTTCTATCTGATCTACGTCTATCTCTGAAGAGTTGAAATTGAGAGCAGGTTGGATTTGGTTTTCCATAATTTCTATGTTCTCCATGGGAATAATCGAACAGCCTGCAGCTGTCTTGTGTGGGTGTGTTTGTAATTCAAGAATCATGGGATCTGATCCATAAATTATGTCCATCGGGCCTTGGACTACACTTATTATTATAGGATCAATTGGGCCTGGCTGCATTCGGCCCAAAGTCAAATTGTGAATAAGAAGAGGATCAGGTATTTGTGGGTTTAAAATATCATGTGCGTCCTCACGTGCCTCCTCACATATCTTTAATTTGAGATTCTTTGCATCCTTCGATGTGCCCACGTGATCTAGGGTTTGGTGAGAAAACCCAGTACCCTTATCCCCCTCTTTATAGAGTCTGCTGACCCTAGACTCTGTAGCTGCAACAGTACTTTTTTCACCAAACCTGTCGCCAACCCTCACTGTTGCCGGAATCTCGCACCAGATCGGAATAGTGTAAATATACCCATCGCTTTCGACCTCCACTACCTTTGGAACATTTTCTCCATCTCCCTTCACTTTAATCCTAGCCCATCTCATATGATTTCGTAGGCTGGTTTCTTCTTCTGTTTCAATCCATCCGCCGCAAAAGTTTCCAATTTCTTGAAAGACCTTTTGAGACCATAGGTTTAGAGGAAGCCCTTAAAGACGGATCCAGACCCAGCTTCTTTCTGTCGTATTTGGCCAACATCCGACTGTAGGACTCCACCAATCAAGACTCATCTTCACCTTTTTCCAACTCCATTCACCTTTAAGAATATGTTCAGCAGCTTTCCTTGTCGGAAGTTCAAACAGAAAGTAAGAATCATTCATCTCATAGACATTGATTCCGTGTGCCGTCTTCCAGACTGAGGTGACCCATCTCCGGACATCATTGAGTGTTGGGGTGTCCTGTAAAGGGTTGTTGAATCTACCGATGATACTTCTCCGTAGAATATCTCTGTCTGTTGTTTCAGAGCTTCCAGAGATGACGATTCTGGATTTTGGAGTTCTTATCGGCGATGCTTTGATCCCTGCTGTTGACCATTTGTTGACCCTGACTGCTTCAGCAAAAGGAGAATTGATGGGAGCACTGGAGACATTCTGTATTGTCATGTGTGATGCATTTGTGAATCTTTCTATCTTTAATGCTATCTTCCCCCAGCCTTCCTTAAATTCCCCTCAGGAATAGTTGTGATTGATCTACTTTCTCCTTGTACTGCAATAATGCTGATGTACCTTCCATATTTGTTGTATTTGAGTGTACCATAGAACTGCGCAAAGAGATCTTCTGTTTTCCAACGTTTGACTGACAATGTCTGGACCTTAGATGCCATGTTAAGAACATGTACAATCCACTTCATGACTTTATAACTCAAAGTAACTCTCCTAAACAAATTCCTGCTGCGTTCAACCCAGTCAAACCGGATTTCAGACCTTGAATATGTTCTTGTAATTTCATAGGATTTGAAACCTGAGTTAAAATAAATCTTATCTTCCTCCATAAAGAAACAAAAGAAGTTTTAGGATTAATCACTGATGAATGATTAAAAATAAAACTCTGAAAAGGACGCCGGAAACTTTTAGATCATGCCGGAAAAGAAGTGGTCTTTTCTAGCCTCGAAAAGTGTGCCTGGGAGCTTCAACTAGTTATATGTATCAATCATGTTAATTTAATAGATAGATACAGAGTACCTTCTATGGGTTAATTATTCATTCTTGGCAATGGATATTTGGTTTTCTATCTGAAGCTAGTTATATTTCCTTTAAACTGCAATTTTCTGTGGCAAGGTTTCCCTTCTGCTGTCCTCTCTGCCTTCTCTTTCTTAATACATTCCTTTGAGCTCCTGAAACTAATTTAAGTGATTATCTTATGTGGTTTCAGGGTAGCACTGTCATCTTATCTGGTCCATCAGGTCCTCCAGTTACTTCTATACCAAGCCAGAACTCTGAACTGGTATGTTAGCTGTCTGAATAGTTATATAATACAAAAATCAAATCACAGTTGAATGGTGCAACATAAAATTTGATGTAGTAGTCCTTAAGAATTCTCAGTTCTCTGGTAGTCTTATTAACCAGTTGGTAATATGCTTGTGCTTTGTAGGTTCTTACCCCAAATGTACCTGATATTATGGTTGTCCCACCGGAAGATGATCACCTTTGCCATGTTATTGATACCATGTCTCTGTATGTTCTCGATGGAGGCTGTGCTTTTGAGCAGGCCATAATGGAGCGAGGCCGTGGGAATTCTCTCTTCAACTTCTTATTTGAGCTTGGCTCCAAGGAGCATACATATTATGTTTGGAGACTTTATTCTTTTGCTCAGGTAAAGCCTATCATGGCTCTGAAATATGAATTGATAAAATGACCTTTCTTCCTTTTGTTTCCTGATAAGGAAGTGACCTGGTGACCTAACTTCATCAATTGCTTTTAAAATCAATCCATATTTCTCTTATAAGATGGTGAAGAAACAAATTTACACTGTGCTAGCTAAGATCTTTTTGGTTCTTGTGAAATAATAGGGGGATACTCTTCAACGCTGGCGCACAGAACCTTTTATCATGATAAGTGGTAGTGGAAGGTAACTAACTGTTTTTTTTTTGCCTTTTGGATTGGAGTTTCTGGTGCAGATATTGTGGGTCCTAATGCAAAGCGTTTGAAATCAGTCTCTACCGTATATATGCATATAAAGGGGTCGTCTGATATGCGTTACTAACCACATGGAGTGGAATGATTTTTATTCAACCTAAACCTGCTATTGGTAGGCCTCCGGGTAGATTAAGTTATATGGATAAACCTCTCTTATCCCATGGTGTTGCTCAGATAAGTTATCGGGGCCAGGTGATAAGTTATCACCTTTGACCTGTGCCAAACTCTACTTTTGCGTTCTGCTGTTCCCCGTGAGTGGTCTACCAATCTCTGAAAGGGCCAACATGACTAAAATGTCCTGCTAATATAAGACATTTTTATTTTCTTTGTTTCTTGTGTATTCCTTTTCTGTGAATTGTTTTGAAATTTGATGAGGGTCATTTTGGAAATGACGGTGAAAATTTCAATCCCCTGTATAATCTTCTTTAACAATCCAATCCGGAGGGACTGGATACCACCTTATTCAGTCCCTCATATTGAACGACCTGAATAGAAAGCATCTGGAAAGTACCTTACATAGTGGATATGCTTAATGGAAAACTTAAACTATCTATTTAGTATGTAACTGAACTCGTCTATTTTATTGTTGCAAAAGTTAGAATCATGTGTGGATGGAGGGACGAAGCCCTTTGTTTTTTTGGAGTTTTAGATTGAATATTGTATGTCGTTGACCAAATTTTTGTTAATACTTGTAGGTGGATACCACCTCCTCTGCCTACATCAAAAGGAGACGAGAATGAAAGGGAATTGGGGACTGCATATGCTACTGGAAAAAGCAGGGTACATTCATGATGCTAGAGATTCATGTCAAGTTAATTTTGATTTTTTGGGATCTTCATTCTGAAAGTGTAAGGGATTTTCTTTTCATCTGACTAATGTTTTCTTATTTAACTTTTTATCTTTTAACATTTGCAGCGTGTAGAAGTAGAAAGGACATTAACTGATGCACAGAGAGATGAATTTGAAGATATGCTACGTTCATTGACTCTTGAAAGAAGTCAGATAAGAGAAGCAATGGGTTTTGCTCTAGACAATGCTGATGCTGCTGGAGAGGTAAATTTTCAGTTGGTGTTTTACAAATTTTCCGTTATTTTTGTACTGCACTTTTTGTCTATTCAAATACTTGAACCGTCTGGAAGTGGAAGAGGGCATTCTGTTGAGGCTACATTCATTATTTGGTATTTTACTATTTACCTTTCAAAGCTTCTATTTCATGTTTAGCAGTTGAATAAACAAACCTGCTGGTGATTTCCACATCTAATTTTCAAAGTGCCATCAGCTTCTTTGAAGGTTTTTTATATTATTTAGCATAAAGATGAGACTTGAACATTAATTGTAATTGTAATAAATAGGACCATGAATGAATTGAGGGATCCTGTGATCGTAATTGTTTCCATTGTATTTTCCTGAAATAGTTACCCTGTTGCTACTGAGTTGCAGGTAGTTGAAGTTCTAACAGAGTCTTTGACGCTTAAAGAAACTCCAATACCAACAAAAGTTGCCCGGCTTATGCTTGTCTCAGATATTCTCCACAATAGTAGTGCTCCTATTAAGAATGCATCAGCATATCGCACTAAATTTGAAGCCACTTTACCAGACATAATGGAAAGTTTCAATGACTTGTATCGTAGTATTACAGGAAGGATTACTGCTGAGGCCCTCAAAGTAAGCCATTCCCATTACCATACTGGTTTTGCAAATGTTGGATTTTTAGCCTGTTTCTATCCTCCTTGATGTGTTGCTAAGCTTTGCTTGACACGTTGCAGGAGAGAGTTCTGAAAGTTCTTCAAGTGTGGGCTGATTGGTTTTTATTTTCCGATGCTTATGTCAATGGTTTACGGGCAACTTTTCTTCGATCTGGGAACTCCGGTGTCATCCTCTTTCATTCTCTTGGTGGTGATGCCCCTGAACTAGAACAAACGATCAGCACTAAAACTGCCCTGGATGGTGACAAGGTTAACCAAGATGCTGCACTGGCAATTGGGAAAGGAGCTGCCATGAAAGAGCTACTGAGTCTTCCGCTTCCGGAGTTAGAAAGACGATGCAGGCACAATGGTTTGTCTCTCATAGGTGGTAGGGAAATGATGGTTTCTCGGTTACTTTACCTTGAGGAAGCAGAGAAACAGAGAGGATATGAACTGGATGATGATCTAAAACATGTAAACCGTCCAAATTCTGACAGATACCCTAGTAGCCAAAAAGAGACCAATAATAAGTTGGATCAGATGGCTTCAGGCTGGAATAGTTATGTGAATGACGACAAACAACTCGAAGGCAAAGTCTCTATGTCGTCGGTTCCCTCAAATTCTAGTCCACAGTTTGATTCAAATGACTTATTTGATGAGGGTAAAAATGGGTCTATTTTGCCAGCCTCTAAATGGGCCAGGGAGGATAATGATAGTGATGATGAACAAAAGAGAGATATGAGAGACCTGGGGCTGACATATTCATCTTCTGGAAGTGAAAATGCTGGAGATGGCATTGGTAAGATTGAGGAGATGGGACTTACAACTGACACGAGCAATTCAACACATCTAGAAAGTGGAATGACTGAAGAACAGAGGTAAATATGTAAATATAGATGTGTTGTTTGATGCATCGAAAAGGTTTTGTTTTGCTAAAAAAATTTTGATCTTCAAGTCTTCATGTCGTGTTAGTTTTTGACATTTGAGTGTACTCCTTTTGTCGAAGGAAGGTAGTAACATTTACTTACTATTTTCAAGTAGATTAGTCTTGAATTAGATTGTCTTTTATAGGTAGAATGTAGAGAAGTAGTGAGTAAATGGAAAAACTATGAACAATGATTTTGTATTTCAAGTTTAATGCTTTGACAAATTTGGTTGAAGAATTTGAGTTTCGGAAGTAAAAAAAAGACACTCTTTTTGGACAAAAAGAATAACACACAACCTAATGAGTCTTGCTTTTTTGCATACACACTACCCTCCTGAGACCCCACTTGTGGGATTCCATTGGGGGGGTTGTTGGTTGAGGGGTCTGGTGTCATGTTCGTTTATTGTTTTTGCCCATTCATAAAACTGAAGTCTCCCTCTAGCGCACCATTATTTCAGAGAAATCAAATGCGCTCCTTCATTATTCTTTTCCTGAATGTTACCATATTTGCAGTGGAAATAGGTTATTAAGCCCCGTCAACATTTGAAAATCTTGCAAATTACCTCCCTTCTTGTTAGTGTGTTCCAGAGCTTAATGTACGGTTCAATGACGTGTACAACCATCAAAACGTGTATCTTAATTGAGATGATGGATGTGGCCCTTACAGTTTAAAATCCAGTTTTGTTGACGTGTAGCTTTAACATAATTTTGTCAATCATTCCTTTTTACAGAATGAGGAATATTTTAGATAAAATTATAAACTACAGGTGCAGAAGTAACTGTAGTTTTGATCTAGCAGAATCTTTAGAGAGAAACAGAAAGAATTAAAACTAAAATGGCATGACTGCTCTGCATTCTTAATGTTGAGTCAGAAGTTTGTCAGAGGGGTACACTCTGTGAAAAGAGTAAGAGAAGGGAGAAGACTTATTGAATTGGTTATTCACGACGTACGAGATGGCTCCTTATGTAGGAGTTCTGGGCTACATGAAATTGAGTTTTCTAAATCGTGAAATTCCTTATTATTATAACATGCACATTGATAATATTCTACAGTCTTCTAAATGTTTTTGGAACAAGTACAGAGTCATTAAGAGCATTCTACATAATATTCGTATTGATTCTTTTTGACCCTGAACTGAAAGATTGAAATTTTGGCATTCTATAATTGCCCAATAATCATGATAATGTGGTTAGCAGGAAGCTACAGAACCCGGGTCCTAATCTTGCTGTAGATCAAGTTAAGATTTACCATAACAATAACAACAACAACGACCCAGTAAAATCCCACAAAGTGGAGTCTGGGGAGGGTAGTGTGTACGCAGACCTTACCCCCTACCCTGATGGGACAGAGAGGCTGTTCCGATAGGCTCTCGGCTCAGGAAGACGGAAATAAAATAAGAAGAGACAATTCATCAGTAATGTCAGCAGAAACCATAGAAATAGTAATAGAAGCATAAAAACCATAAAATAGATGACATGCAATAACCATAACCAGTAATTAAGGCCCGGGCTATGATAAACACAAAGGATAGTGCGGACTCAACATTAACCACTAACCGTCTAAGATCAACCCTATCAAACCCGCCTCACCCCTGGTATTAAGATTTACCATAAAACTAAAGGAAATTGAAATACAACTTCTTCTCCATGTTGTACCTCCAGTTTAATCTAGTTTTACTTACAAGTGGTTATCAATTTCGGAAAAGAAAGCTAGCATAAACGTACAACTTGAAGAAAAGAGAATGAAAGAAAGGATAAGAGAGGAAATGTATTGGAGAATGTCAGACTTCAACTGTCACATATTGAGTTTTGAAGATGGATAGGCAAACTCCTGTCTCTAGCGCACACAGTTGACCTAGACTAGTTCCTTTTTGTGTCTTCTTTCAGTTGAATACTAGTTTTTAATGAATATACTTGTGCTCAATGCTTCCTCAAAGTATGATGTGCATGCTACGCAGTATAGTAAATGACAGCCTGAGGTCATTTAGTAAGCTTAGTAAATTGGAGGAGGTAAAATGAACTATGAATTTCTGGCAACTTACAGAGAAGATTTCATCTGTCACAATCTTCAACTAATATGGATAGAGATTTTTATTTTTCTATCGATAAATAGATCTATTGAGAAATGGATATTGATCTGGTTTCAAGATCTATGAACAAGAGAGATCCCTAAATATCCATTTGAAAAAATAGATGAATAGATAGGGCGAAGCCAGCTGAAGCAAGGTTGCGTTAGCGCCCTTTATTTCACTAAAGCAAGAAGGGAGAAAGCTTACTTTGAAAAAGAAGGGCTTCTATTTAGATTAGTTTCTTAGTAAAGGATAACAACAACAACATACCCAGTCTTATCCCACACCGTGGGGTCTAGTGTGTACGCAGAAGCAAAGGCGGATAAGGCAAGAAGCAAAGGCGGATAAGGCAAGAAGCAAAGGCGTAGCAGCTGCGCGAAGTTGCGCCGTAGCGCATCCGTTTTCTTGCTAACACCATTGAATTGCTATAAATTTGATTCCGAATTATTTATATTACATTCTTCAATCCTGTCTTTTTTTTTTGGATTTTGATTGGTATACGACTTGCTCATGGCAGACAAAAGTTGAGGCGCCTTGAGGTTGCTTTGATTGAATATCGCGAATCTCTTGAAGAGCGAGGGATAAATAATCCAGATGAAATAGAAAAGAAAGTTGAAATCCATCGGCAACGGCTTCAATCTGAATATGGTTTAGCAAATTTCAGTCAAGATGTTTCAAGAAAGAGTAAGTGATAAATCTGCAAGTAGTTTGCCATTTCTATATCTTTTGTGTTCAGGTTTAAGATTTCTCAGATTCTTTGGAAAAGATATCTTCTATCATATAATTTTGCACCCGTTACGGCTGTCCAATTTCCTATTGATCTCGAAGTAGGTTAATTCCAATTAACAAAAGTTTGTTGCTTCCTTTTATGTCTAATCCACTGGACCCCTCAAATGGCATTCTTCCTTCTCCAAGAATTTAAACTAAGATGCAGGGAGTATGTTATTTTAATCTTGACGTGATATCTTTTCAACTAAATATTTTGACTTTGTACTTTCAATAACCCCCCCTTTTCTGTACAAGTAGTTACTTATTTCTGCTTTTGCCAGTGGTCTTTCTCTTACACAGTTAAAGCCTGCATTTTATCTCGGTTAAGTTGATAAGTTCTCGGATACCCAGGTGACTGGTGGAAGTTAGGATGTTCTCATAGACATTAACTGAAGCCTGTTGCTCTAATCTCATTATATGCTCTTTGGAAAGCACTATCAGATATTTTGTGTCAAGCATCTCTGACTCCTCTTGTTTGTAGAGGAGTGTTCTTCTTCTTTTGTATCTGGTGATAAACACAAAAATGGAGTGAGGCAAATATTATCAGATATCCTTTTTTCTTTTGACTGAAATATCATGCCTCGAACACTTGTTCATCTTCTTTGCATTTATTGCGAAGGCAGTGATGGTTAATGTTTATTGCCAACAGTTACGAGATTCCTCATAGTTTATACCGTATTTGGAGGGCATGTATGAGATGAATCGTTTCTTGCTTGCGACTGTTAATCATCTTCTTTGTTACATTAAGATAAGATGTACATTTCCCAGATAATAGACACAGCAAAATTTTGCTGTCTGCACCAGTGTTATTAAAAGCGCTCGCTTCTCGCTTTAAATGCGGAAGCGAGGCGAGGCGCTGGGCTATCGCTTTTCTGCCCCAAAAGCGACTCACATTTAAAAAGCGCAAACCGCTTCAGCGAGAAGCGCCTCGATGGAAAAAGCGCAAAAAAGCGCGCTTAAGCGATGTGAGGGCATCTGCTAGTTTTTTTTTTTTTTTTTTTTTAATTTGGCAAATAAACCATCTGTTAACAAATAAACATACGCTCTTCTGCTGCTCCTGTTAGATAGTTATGTGTAAATAGTCCTGGTCCCATATATAGTAGGTAAAATATGTCCTAGTCCCATATGTAGTAGGAGTAGAATAAGTCTACTCCCATATGTGGTAGGAGTAGAATATGTATTATATATAGGCTCATTGTATCATTGTTAATAGTAGATTTTTCTCCCGTGCATTCTCACAGCTCCAATGACTGCTTCTTCTCCGGTCTCTGTAAGTTTCTTCTTCTTCTTCTTCTTCTGTTCTTCTTCTTCTTCTGTTCTTCTTCTTTTTTCTATTTTTCTTCTGTTCTTCTTCTTCTTCTTCTGGTCGACTCCTTTTTTCTCTTTTTCTTTCTATTTTTTTCACTTTCTATTGCTCTGTTCTACACATCTAATTTATGTCTGTTCTTCTGCCCTATTTTTCTCTTCTTCTTTCAATTTTTTTCACTTTTTTAAGCGTTGATTTTGTGCCCTAAAACTATGCTCTGTTTTCTGGTTTATTGCTCTGTTTTGTACCCTAAAACTATGCTCTGTTTTCTGTTTTTGTGATTTTGTTTGCATTTGCTTAATATGTTATGATTTTTGAGGATTATTCACTATCTAGTTTTAGTATCTATTGTTTGCTTGATTTAAGAAGTGAAACATTTGCTTAATATGTTATTTCTAATGAGTTCTTAGCTATTTATCTATGCCTATTTTTTTTTTTTTAATTTACGTGTTAAATTGCGCTTCACATGAAAAAAGCACGCGCTTCGCTTCTCGCTTCGATGAAGCGAGGCCTCGTCGCTTTTTTGCGCTTAACGCTTTCCAAAACACTGGTCTTTACTTTCTGCACACCTACCAATGTGAAGGTGCTTTACTTTCTGCCTTCAAGCTGAAACTAATTCCTGTATTGTATCTGTTCTTCCAAATTAAACAGCGAGTAAGTTAACTTCAGAGAGGAGGGATAAGAGAGAGGATCCCCGGGAAACTTCAAGGAAACGTCATCGAAGCAGAAGTGGAAGTGAAAGCCCTCAGAGGAAATCTTCCAGCAGAGACAGGGAAAATGATGTGAACAGAGACAAGGAAAAACGACGAGAGAGGGAAAGGGTTCACGATGTAGAAAGTGAAAAACAGAGAGACAGTGGACGGGAGAGTAAGAGAGGAAGCAGGGAGAGGGATGACGATAGTAGAGACAGATCCAGGGAGAGAAGACGAGTCAGATGAATACATTGTGCTGTTACTGTATCTTGATTGATGGTAATCGTGTTTGCTCGCCTTTCATTTTGTAGAAATATCTTTAGTTTGCTAATCTTATTTTCTAGGCATCTAAGGTTCATAGTGAAAATCCGTAATGTGAAGCTGTTTGGCCAATGGAAGGGACCTGTAGACTGCATTATGTTCCGGAAAAGATGCATCACTTGAAGAACGTCTCATGTTTGTATTTCCAAGTAGGACCTTGAACAGTAGATTTTGCTCTTGTATGTAGCCTTTTTTATCTAAATTTTAGAAAATCGTTTGGATTTCCTATTGAAGATTTGCATTTCTCTCGTTCAACAAAGGCGGCGGTTGTCACCAAAACTCGTTCTCTTTTGTATTTGCCTAAAAAAGTGCAAATATTTGGTGTGCTCCTGCTCGGTAAAATTTAGGCTAGTATTATTTGCTTATTTTTGATGATCGTATTCGTAGCAAACTTTTCTAGACTTATTTAATGCGTGACAAATCAAAAACCATCGCTAGATTCTAAGAACTTCACGCAGTGTTTGTTAATGTTTGGTTCATTGCTGGATGTCTGTACAACTCATTCGAGAAGATTTAGCAGAAAGGACTTTAAAGGCGACTCTTTGACCAAACATTGTTTATCCTTTACACAATGTATCCTATATGCAAAAGGGTAAAACTTGATTAAGTGAAAATGGGGGCAGAATTATAGGGGCAAAAGTGTAAACAAGAGAATTTTGGAGCTGCCTGAAAATCGAAATTGGTTTATAACAAATGGTCGATTGGTAGCATGACACGTGAAATCGAAAATAGCCAAAAGGCAAGTCAAGTAACAACTAGTACCGGATACAAAAGTTACAAATGACATGGGGTAAATTCCGAAGGGAGCGTAGCCAGCAGGAGCAGATCGAGTATTTGTCATTGGATAACATTCAGTGAGAGAATATTCTCTAGCACTAAATGGACAACTGTTACAGGGAATATTTGTATTTATGGCCTGCCATTACATATTCATCAGTGACATTTTATTATCATTTAAGAGGAGCTTGATCCTTCCCTAGATAAATCTATAAATAGTTGGCTCAATAGCCATTGTAAGGAAGGAATTTCTTTGCAAACATCTGCTATATTTTACATTTGCTTTCAATCAAACAACTTTACTTTTTTTTTATCATGACTTTCGCTTTTATCCCCGGGGATATTGCATCGGAGCCAGGCTTGTCATCTTCTTCAATTTTAATTACTAAATCTCATTTTTAATCTTATTTCTTTAACATTTTTGGATAAAATCAGTTCGCTTGTCTATAAACGACGTAACAAATTTAAATGTGCCATTTTACGCGTAAATAATTTGGCACCCACCGTGGGGCTTAGACAGTTGCATAATTGCTTTGATCCTTATGTTTGTCACTAACTTGTTTGATTTTTTCCCCCAGTAAGAAATCAGATATGGCAACTAATGATGTCAACACCACACACAACATAGAGGGGCACAAAGATTTGCCTCAACGTGATGAGTCAATCAGCGACACCCGTAGTAAAGGGGATGAAACAACCCCGATTCGTGAAGGGCAATATCTAGGACATGTGCGTGAGCCAACTCCCGATGATGCAGAGGAGGAACATGTGGTGGAAACAATGAAAATCTTAAAAGAACAGCAGAAAGCAATCACGAGATAGTCACCTCCTAAGGTAGGACCGAGTAATGACAAAGTTAAAAAAGCGTTGTCAAGTGCTTCAAATAGTACAAATGAAAGGGGTCCAGTTCCTTCCAGCGTTCCTGTAAATTAAATAGCTCAGAGGGTCGACAATAACCCCCCAAGGGGTGAAGTCGATTTCGATGGTGCCGGGGCAACCAATAGCAGATGTGGGAATGACAACAGGAATGACCCCTTCAAAACTGAACTCATGAGGTTTATGAGGGAAATGAACGAACGGATGGATCAAAATGCAAAGGTGATTCATGCTCGGATGGACCATATTTCAGATGCACCGCCAATTCTGAAAAGCCCAAATTCGAAAAAATACATGCAATTACCATTTAAGCTAGTGCATCGTCAGAGTTAATTTCGAAAACGTTCAAAATGCCGAACATACCAAAGTACGATGGGACCTTGGATCCATAAGAGCACATCACAACCTGCACCATCATTGTGAAGGGGAACGATTTGGCTCAACATGAGATCAAGTCGGTCTTGCTGAAGAAGTTTGGAAAAACCCTCACAAAAAGGGCCCTGACATGGTATTCACTCTTACTCGAGCATTCAATTGACTCTTATGAGATGCTTGTAGACTTATTCATTAAGGTCCATGTCGGGGCAATGGAGGTCAAATCCAGGAAGGCGGACATATTCAGGATTGCACAAGGTAAGTCCGAATTGATGCGAGAATTCATGATCCAGTTCCAGAAAGAGAGGATGTTGCTACCGGCTGTACCAGATGAGTAGGCAGCGAAGACATTCACAAAGGGTTTGAATCCATGGATCTCCGACGCCACCTAGAAATTGAAGGAAAACATGCTCGAATTTCAGGCAAGCACATGAGTGGATGTCCATAACTATTATGAGTAGAAAATAACCATATAGGATGATCAGCTCGAGTTCTTGACATCAACCGAGTGACGAAACCGAGATAAGAATCAGGGCAAGTTTAAATGTGACTTCGATGCAGATCGACGATCTTCTAAAGGTCGTTTCCTGCCATATGAAAGAACCAAGGGTCTCAACAACAAATGGTTTCAGTCCTCAGATAGGTTCTCTCCTGATAGAAGAACCGACCGTGGCCGGAAGCCCGGAACAACATGTCATTACAAGAAAAAGAGGTACTAGGGGCCCCAGACTCCACTTATACCAAGTTATCGGATTATACCTTCAACATCATCTTAGTGTAGTTGGTATCGGCAATGAGGAATATCAAAGAAGCACAATTTTCGAAGCCAATTAGATCCCAGCGAGAGGGATCTCAACTTGTGGTGTGAATATTATAGGACTCGCGGCCATAGAACTGGGGACTGCCAGCATCTACGTGAAGAGGTGGAGACATTATTAAAGAATGGCCATCTTAGGGAATTTTTAAGTGATCGAGCCAAGAACAACTACGGCCAAATCTGGGACAATGCAGAACCTTCAAAGGCGGTAGAAGACACCCTTCGATTGACCATTAATATGATTTTTGGAGGGAACATAATTAACGGTGTAACCTTCTCGACGACCAAAAAAATAAGGATATCGGTAACTCACAATAAGAGACTTTGTAAAGTCACGGAGGAAGACATTGACGAACTTCTTCTACCACATAATGACACCCTGGTAATATCTATTAATATTTTAGATTTTAAAATTAAGCGTGTTTTAGTTGACCTAGGGAGCTCGGCCAACATCATCCAATGGAGTTTGCTGGAGCAAGAAAAGCTAGCTTGAAGCATCATACCGACGACAAAAGTCATAGATGGATTCAATTTGACAAGTGTGACAATATGATGAGAGATCCTGTTGCCCATGAGTGCTGAATGGGTAACCAAAACTACCTTATTCGAAGGTGTAGATGGTGACATGGGCTAAAATATAATTCCCGGGAAGCAGTGGATACACGAGATAAAGGCCGTACCCTCGACATATCATTAGTTATTGAAATTTCTAACACCGGAAGGGATTTAGCAGACAAGAGGGGACTAACCGACAACAAGGGAAATGAACACAGTAACAATTTCCAGCCGCAAGGGGAAAGAGCCCAACAAATAGCAATTACAGGAACCGATGTCTTCTCCCTTTCCGAATAAAGATGGTAAAGTCAAGGAATAATCCGAATCCCACCAAGTGTCGAGATACTTTCAGGTACCGGAGGAGACAAATGCGACCAAGTCAACCGCAGAGGACAAAAGTTCTTGGAGAGGAAGTTACACCTGGGGACAGGATTAAACCCCGAGCTCAGGTTGGGGTTTATCAATTTTCTTAAAGCTAACATCGACTGTTTTACATGGTCACACTCGGATATGACATGTATCCCATTAGAGGTGGCCGTGCAAAATCTAAGCCTGGGTCCAAATTTCCCACCAGTAAGGCAAAAGAAACGCTCGATGGCGGAGGTACAAAACAGGCTTGGTAAAGAAGATGTAACCTGATTACTAGATATTAGTTCCATTTGAGAGGTAAAATACCCATAATGGCTAGCCAACGTAGTTGTAGTACTAAATAAGAATAACATAGAATGTGCACAGACTATAAGGATTTAAATAAGGCGTGCCCTAAAGACATGTTTACATTGCTGAACATTGATCAATGATTGATGCTACGACCGTACACGAGTTAATGAGTTTCCTTGATGCTTACTCCGAGTACAATCAAATTAAGATGAATCCGGAAGATTAAGAAAAAACATCTTTCATAACAAACTTTGGCACATATTTCTATAATGTGATGTCATTTGGGCTTAAGAACACCGAAGCCACTTATTAGAGGCTCGTCAACAAAATGTTTGAAAATCAGATAGGAAAAACAATGGAGATATACATTGATGACATGTTAGTCAAGTATTTGAATGCAAGATATCGTTTGAAACACCTCAAAGAAACTTTCAGTATCTTGAGAAAGCATAACATGAAACTCAATCCGGAAAATATACATTCGGGGTTGGTCCAAAAAATTCTTGGGATTCTTGATCTCACAAAGAGGGATCAAGGTAAATCCCAACAAAATCAAAGCTATCGAGGACATTCTGGTCCAATTGACAAATGTAAAGGAGATACAGAGGCTGACCGAAATATTGGTGGCCCTAAGTAGATTCATCTCGAGATCCTCTAAAAAGTGTCATCACTTTTTCTCACTCCTCAAAAAGAAAAACAATTTCGAATGGACTCTGGGATGCCAACAGACCTTGAAAGACCTAAAAAGGTTAAAATAGCACGGTATAGCCAATTTTCAAACTGGTCATTCAAAAATAGCCACCGTTTACAAAGTCAATAAAAAATAGCCACTATTTTGCTGCAACAGAGACCGGTCCCGCATAATATACGGGAGTTCGGTGCATCTGTGTACAAACTCCAGTATATTATGCTGGACCTGTATACTTTGCTGACTCCTGTATAATATACGGGAGATTGGAGAACCGGTGCTCCAAACTCTAGTATATTATACGGGACATTTATACTTGCTGGAACTCCAGTATATTATGCTGAAGTTCTAGTGTACTTATGCTGGAACTCCAACATATTATGCTGGAGTTCCAGCATAGTTATCCTGTAACTCCCATATAATATGCGAGAGTTCAAGCATACTTATGCTGGAACTCCAGTATAATATACGGGCGTATTTTTCTGGTTTTGAA